GGGGAATCCAACTGGGTCCACTCGGCACGGCGGTCGCTGATTGGCCTATTGTAGCCTGCCCCGGGTGATTATGATGATGGAGAATTTGGTGGAATGAAGATTGGCAGGGGAATCCGAAGTACTCGGGGAAAACCCGCCCCAGCGCCACTTTGTCCACCACAAATCCAACTTGACCAGACCCGGGATCAAACCCGGGCCGCCGCAGTGGAAAGTCAGCGTCTAACCGCTTCAGCTATAGCGCGGCTTGCCATAACTGTAAGCTGTTAGCTGCCGGCTTCTGACAGCGCAGGTCCGAATTCAGTTCAGCAGTCTAAGTGGGATTTCTGGGGACAAACTGACTGTAGGGCAGGGCGTCCTTCCACAGCATTTCAGTTTCTTCTTACCAGGCACCAGCATGTCAGGGTCCCATTTGAAAGCACGGTACCAAGGGACTCATTTTCACCCTACTCCTACAAGTAGAAATAAACTAAATCGTTGATTGGTTGTGGGACCAATCAGGCAGTAACAGAACGGTTCTGTACTCCAATTTGGAGCAGTCCCTACGCAGTTATGAAATGCGACCTTCACTGTTCAATATCGTGTAACTTCGCATACTTCTTTCGTCTTGTGGTTGTCTCTTTCCGCCCTTTCAGAGACGGGCCATTTAAATTCCGGTAATGGCAGCAGGCCGCAGTTAATTTAAATGCCCGCCATTGTAGAGTATTACAAATTGTAAGCATGTTACTGAAAATGCTGTGATTTCTACAATTTTTGTGATAAACGAACAAAATAAACTCTGCTTTTATCTAGAAAGAATATAGAATCAGATATTGTAATTTACAGGTTTTAAAATCTGTAAAAATTGTTACACTCATTCCAAAAAATTTTTTTTTCTTCAGTTTCTGCAGTATAAATGCATGCTGCAGACATCCTGTCTTACTGTGTCTCATCTGGCAAAAGGGGTGGAAGTTTATGTTTGTTTTGCACATTCTCCAGTCACGTCGGAACCTTTGTGTATCATTTTCAGCGTCGTCTATACCGCAGTCAGAATCGGTGTCATTTATTAAACACTTTGCGCCACGTTGCTGTCATATGACGTCATCTTAACGTAATATTATCCCCGGAATCTTTATCACTGTTTATTACAACAAGAACCTCAGATGAAACTGCAACTGTTTTAGTATGCGAAGAAACCGCTAGATGTCATATCTTTCATATTAGACGTGAGTGCAGATTTTTAATGGAAGAATGGCACAAGTAGTTTACAAGCCGGGATGATTTATGGCGCCCAAACCCAAAACAAAAGTTGAAATCAATATTTTCGTTTTCATTTTATGGCAGAAGCTTATTTTTGACTATTCTAATTACCGTGTAGCTACGGCTGCGAGCACCTAGATTGTGACACCGTATAGTCTTGTAGACGGATGCCGGTATTTTAGAGGTACATATTGAGTGAGACGCAAGGAGGGCGATAAAAGGGAGCTCAATATGGACCACTGGGAAGAGACGACAAAACGTAGCCCTTTTATGCGGCACCATACATGGGAACTGATATACTGAGGGGAGAGGAGGGGTCCAGTGTTAGTGCAGGAGGAACAGTTGAATTGTATGGTGAGATAAAGCAATGTTCTGCACATGAGGGCTGCTTTTGGCCCTCTCTTTACACCCCCTTCTTGGGTCCACCTTTCTTGTAAGTTGTCTATATAACTAGGCCTATTCCTGATTCTATCCACTTCAACCCTGAAGATGGAGGCGGCGTTTTGCTTCGAAACGCCATCCGCTTACAAAACCATATAGTGTGACAACCAAGAAGACCACAATCCTAGCAATCACTGCCATGAGAACCTCAAAACGTACATATATTAGCGCGTAGCTCTTCACTTAATTAAGACTTTTCTTTCTGGATATTTTAATTTCTTTTTTGTAATGTACTGCACCATGTACACACTTGAAAACTGTAATTATACACAGTATATTCCCGAATTTTCACAGATTTCCATGCTTGTAACAAACAAGATGAATCAAGCAGTAATGGTTTTATTCAACCAATGCCTGGTTCAAACCTTGGCATGGACCCTGCCTATACTGACTGAGGTGTTTCCTGGTGTTACTCAGCAGTTCCAGCTAAGTGCTTGGGTAGTACCTCAAATTAGGCCATCACTGTTTAACCTAAAATCCTTCCTAGTTAATTACCTGCTGATCATCCTAGTATCTGACACTGTACAGCCTAAGCCACTGTCAGAATCCTTAAAGACTCCATAAATAAGTGGGTATATGGTTGTAGATGACAGCATGAGGTGAAACTGTCCCTCTGTTTAATTAGGCACCACAATATGCAGACACATGGGGAATGAAGGTATGGCTCCATGCATTCTTCATCACAGTACAACAAGGAGGTGGGTGGTCTGTTTAATACCACCCTGGCTGCTTTACTTTTCAGAAAAAAGACCCTGGTATGCATTGAATAGAGAGTTTTATGGGCCCCAAATTAATCTGGACAGTATGGAGAAGAGAAAATATCTGCTCCTACAAAGAATTGAACCTCAGTTCACGAGTTTCCGTGCCTGCAGTGCATTGACTATGATAAATGATCTGCTCTGCCAATACTCTGAAAGCTAATACATATTTTCTCACATTAGAATAAGTAAGTGTCCACTGAATGGGTCAATAACCCTTTCAGTGATGGGTGCAATGTTTCAGAACTGCTGCACCGCGTGGTGATGCTGAGTGGGTCTGGCCTCAGTCCCTGGGCCCTGCAACGAGAGCCTCTGGCGGTCAAGAGAAAGGTAGCAGAACAGACTGGGTGCCATGGTGACCTGGTGGAAGATGACCTTGCTCCATGCCTGCGAGCGAAGCCTCTCTCCGACCTGCTATCAATTCGGGTGGACCCCCCGCGCTTCCTGCCAGGTTTCGCCCCCTTTGTGGATGGCACAGTGCTTACTAGTGAGAGTGCAGGAAGAGGGTTTGCCGATACCAGTTTACTGTTAGGGGTGGGTCTGCAACAGCAAGGGACTGCAGGAGTGGGCTTTGAAATGGCCGATTTCCCTGACAGAGACCTTCTGTTCGGCCTGACAACAACAGAATCTTATTTGGATCTCAGTGCACAAGACCTTGAGTTCGGGTTCAATGAGAGTCGCAGGGACCGGATATTGCGCACATATGTCCGGAATGCTTATATCTATCATCTGAATGAGATCTTCTCAACGCTGAAGAATGAGTACACAGACTGGGAGCGCCCTGTGCAAAACCCGCTCAATGTGCGTGATGCGACGCTAGAGGTGCTTAGTGATGGCCACACAGTGGCGCCACTAATAAAAGTTGGCTATCTGCACACCCTGCGTGGGGGGCGCACATATTTCCTGCATTTCCATCACCAGTCGGGCGAGAGAGACTTTCCCCAGGTGACTTATCATATGACAATGTAAACTGCTGAAATATTTTCTAATGATGGTTCTTGAACTGCTTGTGCTGTATAATGCTGAAGAGTGGGCTCATATTTTGTGAAGCCTTTAAAAATGTGCCAAAGTTCAAGTAACTGGGAAAGAGAGTAACAAATCAAAAGTGGATTCACAAAGAAATTAAGAGCAGGTTATATATGGGGAACTCATTCTGCCATTCATGTTCTAGATGTAGTATGCTAAATTGTAACTTCACTTGTTTTGTATGGGTGTGAAACTTGATCGCTCACATTAAGGGGAAAACAGATTGAGGATGTTTGAGGATAGGGAGTTGAGGGGAATATTTCGATGCAGGAGAGTAGAAATAACATGAGGCTGCAGGAAATTTCATAAAAAAGGAATTATATAATTTACTCTCCTGCTCAAATGGGAAAGAACAGGAAAGACAGGACACAGGGCAATCATGACAATGATGAGAAATGGATACAAAATTGTAGTTTGAATATGTGAAGAGACAGACCATTTGGGTGACTTAAGTGTACGTGTGAGGATAATATTAAAATGGATCTTAATGATGTAGTCTGAGAGGATGTGGGCTGGATTAATGTGATTCAGTATATGGACCAGTGCTGGGCTCTTGTGTGCATGTTAGAGAACATTCAGGTTTCATGAAAGGTGAGGAATTTGTTGACTAGCTGAGCAACTGTTAGCTCCTAAAGAAGGGTTTTATGCACAAATTTAATTAGTTAGTTAGAGTTGTATCTCACAATTTGTCTGGAAGGACTGAGGAAGTCCACGACAAACCTCAAGTCAGGAAAGGTTGCCTGTTACACCCCAAACAATGAAGCATGTGTTAACACTTGTCCATGGCGTTCAGCTCTGTATTTTGGAGATGATGTGGTGGATGCAATGGGCTTAGGAACACGATAAATGGCAGGCATTACTATTAGCCACAGGGTAGTAGACCCGAAAGTAAAAATGCCAGGGTGCTTCAGCACAGAGTTTCAGGTAAAATTAAATGAATGTAAATCATGATATGAAATTGTTCTCATTACTTAACAGTATCTTTATATGTTTAATCATACACAACTGAATAAAAATGGCCCCTGAAATGCATACAATTAAAAAGGCTAGCACTTACTTCTCAGGGGCCAGAAATGAAACACAAAGAACCTTTCACTTCACACCAGCATCTTTAAAATAAATTCCATGATGGTGCTCTGACATTCAGGAAAGCATGAAGACATTGCACTGGCCCACTGTAGACAAAATTAGCATTCTGAAACTTTACATTTCAGAGCGATTCAATGGAAAGAAGTCTGCTATTGTATATCTCTCCGTGTCTCTCTGGGCGGTGCCAGTCAGCCCTAAATGCTGTTACCTAATGAAAGACTGTGTGGCTGACACTGCCAGCGTTCATGTGTACACAATGACTTGATGACTGGAGGGACTGTGAAGAGGTTCGGTCTAGGCTATCTCTTTTCTGTGGCTTCCATATGGGATATTTAATGAAGTGAAAGAAATTCATTTTTGATCTCTCAGTTTAAATTATTAGTGTGCTGATCTTTGCAGTACAGTCTCTGTATCTGAAAATAATATTATTATACCTCTACAAGCCAGCCTTATGTTCAGTGCAGCATGAAAAATCACAAAACACACATTTACAAGATATTTGTATTCCAGCCTTCAGTACTTTGTGTTTGTATTTGCAGCGATTGGGAAGTGTGAGGGGAGAGGATGTGCCTTATGTACTGGGCCTGCCACTTGTCGGCGGGCAACCCTTCTTCCCGCACAACTACACTCGTCAGGATGGCTCTGTCTCCCGCCTGCTCGTACACTACCTCTCCAACTTTGCCAGAAAAGGGTGTGTACCACTCTGGACTCTATTCTAGACTAATTTGACTTATTTCATATGGATTGATAGATATCTGGTATCCACTGCTCCATATTCGTTTTTCACTGTCCCTTGAGTGTATGCGATAGCCTTGCCCAGACAGCAGATTCTCACATTCTCAGGAAATAAGTTGGAGGTCTCATTGCTGACCCAGAACGTGGCTGGTTTCAGAGTTAGGCAGCTAGTTAGACAGATACATGATATTTTCACGTCCTGTTCCCATCCTCACTCAATAATTTTTTAACCAAAACGTGAAATTTAATTTTAAGGAAATGATTGTGGGAAGCAAAAAGAGATTGGAGACATTTTGCCTACCAACGAATATAAAACAGGATTAATAAGAGAAGAGTAAAGAGAAGAAATTGGGGGAGGGGGAAGGGTGAAGGTGGATTTACATGGACTTTAGTGAAAATATTATGCCACTGGAAATCAGCCATCTTTTTACTTTCTAATTCCTTACTGTCACCTAAACAATCACTGATTTCGTTCAACAATCATACAAACACTTTCAGTGATGCTGATACATTTTGTACAGAGACTGGCTAGAAACATATCTACTGATTTTGTATGAACATACTTTATAAGGAGCTTGACTAGGTCAGTTACTGTAATGACTAGGGTACAAGTTGAAGAACTGGGTTTATTTCCTGGCATAGGAGCTGTTCTCTTTGCGTTTCAAAACTCGCATAACAAAAAAAATTAAAAAGAATACATCAAAGAAGATAGAAAAGCAATTTTCCTTACTAAATAAACTTAATTTTGCTTCCATTAGACTTGACATAACAAATATTCACAGCTTAAAAGTTACTAATTCCTGATAGTGAGGCTTCATGCTTATATGTATATATAAGATTTACCATTTTAATATAACCAGTAATAATTAATGTTGACAGTTACTGTGTTATGGATAATTTGCAGCAGTCCTCAGACTTGTTTTCATGTCTACAAAATCCACTTATATTTCAGTGACCCAAACAGCGCAGTTCCAGACCGACAACAAAATACAGATAAGGACAGTGAGGCAGAATCAAAGGCAGCACCTTTCTGGGATACATACGACCCCATCAACCAACTTTATCTGGAACTGGGTAACCCAATGTCATAATAGCCACTCATATGTTCCTGTAGTGTACTTGTAATATGATTGTCTGCGAAACTTGGTCTTTATCTGTAGGTGAAGTACAAATATTAACAGTTCTGACCAGGTCTGTGTCATGATGTAGTCTTCTGACAGGCATATATTGGCATTTTACATGCTGCCTCTGTCATCAGGGTTGAAATGTGTAAGTTCAGGAAGTGACTTGGCTATACTGGCAAACTGTACTGCAGGTTGTTATGGGACCCTAGGACAGGAATAAGAAAAGGTAACCAATCTAGGTAGTGGGAAATTTAGATAGGAGAGCAGCCCTTTTAAGGTGCACACTCAGTTTCTTTTCACAGGAGAAAAATGCAACATATAAATACAATGTGACAACATTAAGAAGTTTTTAAAGTTAATACAGATGGTGCATGTAGTTACCATTGTGGTTTAAAGGCTAATTATGACTAATTTTACTTATTTAAACATTCTTCTGCAAGTTCAAGATTAATATTCTATACTGTGTCTTCTTTGCAACTAGGAAATTATTTTTCCACAAATAACCTATGTAGATTCTTTGCTTCTTATATGTTACCAACCTTACATACCCCTGGGCATGTAGCATGTGAGTCCATTTAATGTAGACTGATGGCTAAGGTCTGAGGAACTTCCACTACCTGTGTTACATGTAACAAATTAAAAAGCATGCACTGATTAAGGTTATGTTTATAAACATTCCTTTCAAAATAAAAGCAAACAATGGATTATGTGAATGTCAGGTTAGTCAAAAAAATCAATAATATCTAGTTAACATTTAGTTCAAATTTTTCAATATTTTCTTGGGGGCTGTCATCTCTTTATACAAATATCACTGTGTAGATTTTCTTTGTTTGGACTACTTGCACAGTGGAATGGGTGTTTGGGTGTATGTAGCTCTCAAACTATTGAAGTAGTTATCATGTGTGCCCCATGCCTGTAGGTTCCTCACCCTCCCTGTGTAATGGCATTGTTGTTCCTTGTATGTAGGCTTTATCTACATAACAGGTCCAAGAAAAGTATTGAAAAAAAATTAAACGAAATTTTAACTAGACTTTATTTGCTTTTTATTGATTTTAATAGAGTCCATTATTTTAAATTAGGACATGTCACATTCATATCTGATAGAAGGAGCTGGATATACCACACAGTGAATCAATTTTTGACAAAAGAACACCAGATGATGGCCATATATTGCTGACACATGTTGTGAAAGTGAAAAGGAGAAAGACAAAATAAATAGGATGCATTGTGGACTGAGCTATAGTTTGTGACCAACATCTTTCCAGTCTTATTAATGTGTTTCCCTCTCTTGAAGAAAGTTATTCAGTTGTTATAAAAGCTGATTGACATGTTACAGGACTGAGGCCAGAGATGAGGAATCACTACCGTGGCCACAAGATGTCCCTGTGGTTGAACCTGATTCCTCAGTTGCACAGGCCTGGAGGGGATGATCTTAACATGCGACATCACCACTTTCAGGAAGAAGGAGCACAGTTTTATGAGGGTGAGCTCTTCCATCCCCCAGACTCTTTTAAGTATGTTCACAATGTTTTGCAGTCAGTGCTAGGTTTAACCACACAGACATGTGCTAATGTGACAGGTTTTTACAAAATGGAGATATCTGTGTACTGCTACCTGTATTAAATATATCACAGTATTTCTTCAGTTTAGTTAGTTATACATTATTAGACACTTTTGCCAATTATCCTTCCTCATGCTGCCAAAAATTAAGTCTGTGNTTTTTTTTTTTTTTTTAATTTTAATGTCCTCATGGTTAATACAGAGTATGGGAACATAAAATCAGAATTTTCTCATACATAATTTTGAGCACCTTTAATCTGCATTTGCAGAGTTATTACTGAGAGAAGATGGATCAAACATACGTTTGTGTCCTTTACCATTTTAAACTGATTTACAAATTAGATGCAGAATTTACAGAATTGTCCCAAGAATTACTTCAGCATTCAAATGCACAGATTATAGAAAACAAAGTAGAAATTGTAAATTTCTGCGATGATGTTCATTTCTAGTTGAAGATTTCAAGTTCAATTTTTTGTTGGGAAATGAGGCACAGAATATTTTAAGCCAAATTCATATTCCCATAATAATGTAGAATTAATGACAAATCATATTTTGATGTCCAGGTTCAGTGAGGCCGCAAACCCTGCAGCGACCCAACTTGGCCCCACAGCACACATCCAGTACTGTCATGACTCCAACAACAGCAGCCCCTAGCACAAGCACAAAGACAGATCCAGCCAGCAGCACTACCACAGAATGTCCGCCCAATGTGACCAGCAACACAGTGAACAGTGGAACCTTGCGACCCGGCAGCAACCATAACAACTTGCTGCGGAAACTCGCGTCCAGCCATTACCAGAGCTACACCACAGCACTGACAGTCACAATAGCAGTCGGGTGCTTCCTGTTGCTCCTCAACATTCTCATCTTCGCAGGGATCTACCATCAGAGGGACCGAGGGGGCTCAGGAGGACATTTTGGTGACAAGAAAAAGGAGGAGCTGGCAGAGGTGGGCAGTTGCAGCAGTAGTTCAGGAGACGGACACCATTTTGAGAGTAAGCATGCACTTGTGGATCACGTGGTGCTGTCAACTTCGCAGCAGCATCTCCACCCGTCCGCATCAGCTGCAGCGATAGAACTCCCACTGCAGGAGTTCAAAACATCGCCCACATCCGGAACAAAAACTAGGCCAAACTGCACTAACACGGAACAGCAGCCTCCAAGTTATGATCCCAGTGAAAACACTGAGCCACCTGCCGAGAAACAGAACACACAGGCTCCACCACTACCTCCGCACCTAACCAGCCCCTCCATTCCAGATCCACCCCCACCACCCAAAACACTACCACCCTCACAGTGTAATCAAATTGGTGCAAGTGGAGGGATCTTGCGTCAGCAAGGTTGTCCTCAGACACCTGGAAGCATGAAGAAGCGAGTGCAAATACAGGAGATCTCTGTGTGATGTGTTCACCTGTGACATCCTTTCCTTGTCACAAACATTAACATGCGTTAACAATTTTGTTAGACGATTTTCAGTGTATTCCATATTTTCATTGTCATTTCCTTAGTCATCGTACTTACACTGTCCTCGAAACTTGTTCCACAGACTCAATAAAATACAGTACATATATTTTCAATGCATATTTTAATACAGTTCAGACCTGCTTTGCGGTAGTAGTTGCACTTATGTAGGAGGGCAAGCTCAGCAGTGAAGCATGGATCAGTTGAAGTTGAAGTCATGTCCATTGTAACTGACCCTAAACACAGGTCCCACTGAATAGACCGTTTTATGGGAAGTACATCCTGTAGTCTAGCAGAAGTTTATGGATGTTTTGGAGGAATCTATTGCATCTGTCTTCAGAGTCAGTCAGAGTAAGCCAAGCAAGCAGAGGAAGCTGTGCAGAGAGGAAGTGGTCTGGATATATGGTGGAGCAGAAGCTCTAAAAAGCAACTGCAGTATGGAGAAGAGTTAGATTTATAGCTGTCCGCTCCCCTTTGGAAATCTGGTTACCTACCTTTGGAAAAGATCCTGGCAGTGTTGTCTTGAGATGTGATAGCTTTTCATGAAAAGCACGTTGCAGTTTCTTGAGCTGTGGATGGTTTTCCTTTTGGGTGGGAAATGAGCCTAAGACCATTCCTAGGCATCCCAGAAGACAGTCCTCCCAGATTTGCTGACCAAGCATGCTCTTAGTTTTCCTCATTACTCATGACGTCCAGTGCTGGTTGTGAACAAGGCAGAGCAGTCAGAAAGTCTCTTCATGAATTTACCTCCAAGACTGTTTTCACTGACTGCCCTTGTGTATTCAGAATAGTAGACTTCATTAAAATAATTGGTATTAATATTTGGTATAGTTCCTTTTTTTTTTACTGTGACTTTCTCCAAAAAGTCCAAGGGTGCAGGCACATGCTGCCCCCCTTCCCCAAGTGCCCATGGTATTTTGTGTATAGAAAAATAATATAATTTAAGTGAAATTTGGAATTACAAAGTGTTCCTTCATTGGAATGCCATTGGTGTGAAGAATATGCCACTGCAGGCGTCCTCATCAGTTTAACTTTCTGTCAACATGAGCAATACATTGTGGTGAGGTCATAATCATGTGAGGTGGATACATCCCTAACACTACTGAAGCTTAGTTTGTTGTATTAGGTGCAGTATATTCTTTAGACAAACAGAAACTAATAACATGACAATTCACAAAATGGTTTGATGGCAACAGCTCCTTTACAATACAATAGTGAAGGTATGGGTTACCTGCTGTAACATTAAAAAACTCTGCATTCAGCACACACAGTGTATTTATGTGCGTGATGTGATTCTCAGAATAAACAAGTTTATTTTTCCTAACAACATTAACAGGTTGGTCACTGGGGAAACTGTGTGTTCTCTGTGAGATGGGAAGTTATCAGCTGGTTTGCTACTTAAGGAAAACAGTTGCTGTTTATTAGGAGAATTATGTGCAAAACACAGATACATTCTGTGGGCAAGGTGCAGCGTTTTCTTAATGAAGCAGGTGATACATATAGTAACCAGTACCCAATAAAATGTTAATGCACACCAGTGATACCAGATTTCATGCATATTTTTCAAGTAATGCTATTGATAGATGAAATACAAAATTCATCAGTATTCCTCATCATAGTCACAGTCTAATGATAATATTATAAATAACAAATATATGTGAATGTTGCAGAAAGCAAACAGAATTGTGGCAGTCTTTGAATTCATACATGACAAACGTTTCCTGAATGTACTCTTATCTTTGAACCAGTGACCTATGGAACGTGTCCCATTACATGCCATGCCATGCCCCAAATCCCAAGGTGTCTGTGATGTGACACCCCCCAACAGCAGAAAAAATACAGAGTGTCTCCAGTGCCCAGAGTCTGTTCACTGGTTGGTGATCAGCTTCAATAAGAAATAAAATGTTCTGGCAGGGCTTAAGGGTTGTTTGGCATAGAGTAGTTGTTCATTTAACAATGCTGTCCATGACAGACAATATAGCATCATGGATTTGACAGTAGTGAATACTGGATTGGAAATGATGTGGCAGGTAGAGATCATAACCTAACTTCAGATATTATTCCAGATATGTCCAGACTGAGGAAAACCACATAACAAATCTGTCAAGGTAGTTGGTGTCCCTTGCAAAGAAGTGTTACTACTTAAGCCAACTTTGCTGATGTTTGCCACAGGGACTTGGCCTACAGTTCTTATATGGCAGGGCATAAGGCCATCTGGAACAGACAGCAATAATATCTTGTTCCAAAGAAAATGCTAAAATTAACATTAATAGGCTGATAATTTTGTTTTATTATGTAAATACTCTTATTAAGATCAGCAGCTTATTTATAATGCCCAATTTTGGCTGCAGTGTGCACATTTTTATACTTGCACACCTACGTTCTGTCCCAGTAAGGACCAAACAAAAGCCAGGACACATCTCAGTTTCCAACACAATAATCTATCTGTTCAGTTTGTGTATTCCATAAAAACAGGGTATAACAGGACCAGATGAGGGTTCACAGATTGCCTATGCTTCAGAAGGAGCTATAGGAATTGAATGAATGAAAGAATGATAAAAACAGGGCATGGGGGTATCAGCTGGGTTGGATTGGTAAAGATAGGTGAGCTTTTGTGAAAATTGTGATAAATCTTAATGTTTCATAGAAACAAGGGAATATTTTCACTGGCAGAATAATTATTTTCCAAGGTTCTGCACATTTGAGTTAAAACACTCCTTTAAATACTATGGTAGCTCGTTGACATTAATTATGTAACAATCTGTATATGTACTTAAACATGGATCTTGAAGTGCCACATATCTGTAGAATTATAACGTAATTATATAATTTTAAAACTATTATTTAACAGACTTCAATTTGCAGAAGACTCTGGAGTTGAATGAGAAAAGTATATTTTTTTGAGAAATTATGCTTTTACATATGGAAGCCTTCAGATTCGAACTCAGGCCATTTGGTTAGTTTACAGTGAATCTACAGTTCTTGTTAAGTGACAGAAGTTCAAAATATTTAGGGTTTGAAATTTGGTTACTAATGAATGCACATTCGTACAAGGGCAATTTTAGGTTATGTATTCTGTTTCTAAATTATTTGTGGTAAAGCAGGAGACATATTTGGCCTTCATGACCCTGTAGTAATGAAGGTGTATGAAAGGATTAGTGGGGTGGGCCGGGGTGGACGTACAGCTGCCTGCATCGTCATTCGCTTGTTTCAACCCAGTCAGCTGGGTGACGTCACGTCTTCAGAGGTTGCTAGTTTCTATTACCACAACCGATGAAGCCTAACTCCATGAAATATACCATTAACAACAATAAAAATAAAACAACTAACAAATTATAAGAATATCAAACCACAACACTGGATCGCTGTGAGACTATCGACAGGGTCATGAAGGCGAAGAGACGGCGTGAGGACAGAATTCCACGCAATCCAGATCACGGCCCAAGGGTCGATGTGAATGGTCAGCTTCGCGCTCTCAGTAATACAGTGGGGGGGAGTCCAGCTGGGTCCACTCGGCACGGCGGCCACTGATTGGCCTATTGTACCTGCCCCGGGTGAGTATGATGACGGAGAATTTAATGGAATAAAGATTGGCAGGGGAAACCGAAGTACTAGGAGAAAACCCGCCCCAGCGCCACTTTATCCACCACAAATTCCACTTGACCAGAGTCGGGATCGAACCCGGGCCGCCACGGCGGGAATTCAGGGACTAACCGCTTGAGCTATGGCGCGGGCTTCTCAGTAATATATAGTATATATATTTGTTCGTTCATTCGATTAATTTATTCAGTTCTGTCTTGTTCCTGGTCTAGTTGTTTCTCACCTTCATAAGATCGTATATTATCGGCCGGCAGAGTGATTGTGAATGGTATATTCGACAGCATATAGGATTGTAGTGCCATATTTGAAGAACGGATACTAACATTGAAAGGAAGGTACTGAGGAAGACCAAGAAAATCTTGATCTTCATGGCTTCTCTGGAGACCAAGATTGCGATCTCACGGAGAGGCAGCAAGACAGCCAACCACTACAGTGTGATGCTTGATACAGGCAGTATGTGGTACACTGAAACAGCATTATCTGCCCACACCGGGGCTTGAACGTTATTTGAGTCAGTTACTGCAGGCAAAGCTGTAATAATGCTTTAAAATAGTATGTCACTTAGTATGGAATGACTGACGGGGTTTTTGATTGGATATTGGATTTATTGAGCACTTATAGGTCGTAACTACAAATGACTATAACGCTATTGCTATTTCCACACTTTACAAAATGACACTAAATCTTTTCCAGCCCGCAGTGTGTTCACTAGTAGTTGCCTTGTAACGGCTTCTAACAGTAGCCATTCCCTTCCTTCCGGGCTCCAGTCCTCTCTGCATGGCGGCTCCCTTCCAACGCTTCCAACTGACTCGCGGCAATTTCACAGTAAGCTTCCAGTCTTCTCTTCACCGCCTATCAACTGGCTAAGCTCTAAACCTCGTCTTGCTTATAACTGCTAGGCATGAACCACATAGAAAACACAGTTCTTACATTACTGTCCCACTCATCTCCAAGGGAACGTACCTGTCCGCGAAGGAGACACCCAGCAATGGCCGTATGTATATACTTACTTATCAAAAACCTGCTGCCTAGCAACGGACGTTGTTCTGTTGTTTCGCGGCCGTTGCCTAGAAACGAACTTTGTTTCAGAGCCGTTCGCTAGCAACGGCTATTTCTCTGGCTCCACAATGCTTGCTTTGAGCAAATATGCTTTAAAAGAGGCCACACCCATTTCAGCACATTCCAAGTCGACATTCTCAATGATACCGGCATTCTGCATTACACAACATATTCAGTTAGGCAAGTGGCATTAAATAAGTTAGAAGTAAGACACCTATAAAGCCGAGCAAATGCTTCTTGTCGTCAGTACGGTTTTATGTATGTCAGTCTTTAGTGTTTCCACAGTTTGCAGAATAATAAGATTTTAACCACAACTCTGTAATTTACTGAATACTGACCTCAACTGGACTTGAACTATCTATTTTAATATTATTCTCTGAGTCTCCCGATACGTACATTTCTACAAAGATTTTCAACAATAATCAGTTTGCTTTTCTGTGCTTGCAGCTAACCTACCCATCTAAATTTCCTTCATTACATTTATCTAACAATATTATCCATGATGAGCGGAGATAATTCTATCAGAAAGTGACTGGCTATGTTGATAGACCACCGGGGTTCGATCCGCAGCAAACCAAACAAATTTCCATTGCATTTATGTCCATGTACGATCCTTGGAGACGAAGTAGGTACTGTAAGACCCTGCCTTAAGAGACTAACCGTTCTGTTCCATGCAGTCCCGAAATCTGAGAGTGGATGTTTACCTCCATGCCTCTATATCCTTGCAGGGCCTAATATTTAGATGAACCAGTTTATCGTCGCATTTTTTTCAACGATTTCTTTTCCGGATTACAAAAATGAACCTCCACATTATATAATTATCTCCACTGTAGTCTTTTTTCTTAGTGTACCTCTCATCTGAATTGTTAACCACTTTGTTTTGAAGTGCCACTTTTCTTCATTTGGATTCAGGAACATCTTATAATTTTAATTTAATTTAATATAAGGGCCGATGTCAGTACGTCCGAAATTTAGGGATCTCTGAATATCAATGCCCACTGATTTTGATTATCATGTAAAATATTGCTCGTGAACCACC